CAAAATATCTTGAGTCGCAAAATATTTTCTGCGCAAGTCGCAAAAACCCCAATTTGAGTCGCAAAAGCCAAAGGGATGATAGCTCCTCCTAACCCTGATACCAACCCTAACCTTAACCCTAACCCTAACCCTACCCTGACCATAGCTTCTCCTAACCCTAATACCAACCCTCTATAACCTTACCTTAACCCGACTGAATTGCCTTACATGTGTGCATTTTTCTCTTGTTTAAGATTTTGATTTTGTTTAAGATACTCTTTTATGCTCTTTCCTTTTTGAACTCAACCAAATCCTTTATTATATTTCTGCATTTTGTGATAACCTTCTATCAAATAATCAAGCTTGTCTTTTAGTTCTTTAATCTGCGTTCACATTAAACAAACTGTGGCAATCCTTATCCATTAAGTTACCCATTACCTATAACAATCCTCACTCAATTAAGTTAACGCTTACTCATTAAGTTAAGGCGTTAAAATCAACAATAGCCCACTTGAGTTAACCCGTACCAAAAACAATCCTGATCAAGGTCAGTCATAACTAAGTAAAACCATTACCTACTTCAGCTAACCCGAGGCCTTGTCAAGTAAATCAACCCGTAAACCTTAAGTCTAACACAAGACGTTAATCCGCGTCTAACCTTAAAAGCATGATTCCTCTTTATAACGTATTTACTAAATTTTAGACAAAATCTGAAAGTTGAGAGAGAAAAAAACTAATTTTTAACAGTATAATTATATATTCGTTTGGTTATTTAAGTTTTGCTTAACCTTTGCATATATGCCAAAGTGTATATATTCAAACTTTAATAATGAATTTAAATTTTAAAGAAAAACCATTATATCTGTAACATTAAAATACTGAAAACTGCACAACGGTCCGACATGAACCTACGTAAAAAGTATTGACCGGGCTTTGGTTTAGTACCTCCCACATTAAAATGCATCCACATACAGACCTGTTATATTAAACAAAAAACTCATGTCCATCAATTTTAGTATTTATTGTATCAATTACGTCAACTTCCACATCCGATTGTATTAAGCTGGAAATAAGTCCATCCTCGAATAGCATTGTTCTATTAACAAACAGGCTCAAGGGTTAGTATTAACAACTAGAATTAATTGTATTTGAATATTCTTGATTTAGCGTATTATTGATGTAAATGTTCAACAAAATATTGCTTTAACAACCATTCATTGGTGTCAGTGATATTATTTGTTTCACTATTTTTTTCCCTCTGTCGTCTTGTCAGATTTTGGATCCATGAAATCCTTCCCGGAAAAGTCAGTGTAGTTTCTGCATTCCTTTATGCTATTGTCCTTAACCTGCAACATAATAACATAATAATCACATTTCAAAGGACAGAGCTAAAATCCTGTACCCGACCTAGCCCGAACACTTAACACCCAACCTTAATTATGACTCTAAGCATGACATCCATACAAATTAAACATCTTTGGTATGATTGCGCTCATCGAGCGTGGATGTAGAACACAAAACAGGAAAATGCATGCAATTATCTGTTCCGTGAAACATCAACACTATGATAAGCACGTTAGATATGACTAATAACCCTAATCGATGTCATCTTAATTTAACTAAATTCCATCACACCTGCCCGTAGTTTAAACCCTATCTCTGTCCACCTTATCTCTTATACGTATTCCTTCCCTTAAAGGATTTTGGCCAAGATATTTTACTTTATTTTACACAGTGGCGTATTTGGTCACTGATTTAACAGTAGCTAGGGTCCAGGAGCTACACCTCTTATATATTTCTGATTTGTTTCGAAGGATACGTCTGACAGTGTGATACCGCCCATGATAGAATTCCCTACAAATTTATGTCGAACAAAAGACGAAGACAAATCACCATTTACGTCAAAATTGACATCGGCGGACGATTCTGATATGGCAAGGACGTAAATAAGATACGCATATAGAACAGCAGCTACATAAAATGAAACCTCCAAATATTGCTGGATTTAAACCCTAACAAAATAAACAGGTATGACGTAAGAGCCAGTTAAGGTTGCGACTTTTTATAGTCATATATTTGCAATGTACTCTACACTGACCTACCATATATAACTTACTATAAACTGTAACTACACTGACCTACCATATATAACATACCATAAATTTTAATTACACTGACATACATGTACCGTGTATAACCTCACACAAGCTTTAACTTCACTGACATACCACGACTGACCTACCATAAACTTTAACTACACTGACCTACCACGTCTAACCTACCATAAACTTTAACTACATTGACCTACCACGTCTAACCTAACATAAACCTTAACTACACTGACATACCACGTATAACCCACACACATTTTAACTACACTGACCTACCACGTGAAACCCACAAAACTTTAACTACACTGACATACCACGACTAACCTACCATAAATTTTAATTACACTGACATGCATGTACCGTGTATAACCTCACACAAACTTTAACTTCACTGACATACCACGACTGACCTACCATAAACTTTAACTACACTGACCTACCACGTCTAACCTACCATAAACTTTAACTACATTGACCTACCACGTCTAACCTACCATAAACTTTAACTACATTGACCAACCACGACTAACCTACCATAAACTTTAACAACGCTGACATACCACGTATAACCCACACAAACTTTAACTACACTGACATACCAAGACTGACCTACCATAAACTTTAACTACACTGACCTACCAAGACTAACCTACCATAAACTTTAACTACACTGACATATCACGTATAACCCACACAAACTTTAACTACACTGACCTACCACGTATAACCCAAACAAACTTTAACTACACTGACCTACCACGTATAACCTCCCAAAAACTTTATTTTAACTACACTGACATACCACGACTTACCTTTAACTACACTGACCTACCTTGTCTAACCTACCAGAAATCTTAACTACACTGACCTACCACGTATAGCCTACCAGAAACTTAATTTTAACTACACTGACATACCACGACTAACCTACCATAAACTTTATATACACTGACATACCACGTCTAACCTACCATAAACTTTAACTACACAGACATACCACGTCTAACCTACCATCAACTTTAACTACACTGACATACTCGTGGGTTGACTATTTCACAAAGCATCAAATACATATTAGAGTTGTACATATTATTATCTCAATGTTTTTCAATGAATTCGGTGCATTGCAAGATTCTCAACTAACGATAATCCGAGACGGACGATGCCCGGGTCTTCGACGAGGTACGAGCAAAGATATATTGGCGATGTACGGGCAATGCGTAACAATTGCTTGAGTATGCGTTTACTATTACTTGTGCACAGAGTCGCAAGGTAAAATAAATATATGTACAACACATAATAATACGTACGTTCGATACTCACTCTTAATATTGCCAGCGCAGCTTTCACAATTTTAAATGCGGACAAACTATTCAAGCTATAAGAGCAAAAAAGGTTTGTTTATATTAATCTTTAAATGCATGTCAGTCAATCAGAAAATGTGCCTTGTCTTTTTCTGCAATATTAAATCATATAGTACCGAAATTACCGGGTAACCGTTCAATTTTTGTCTGTGCGGTTAAATATAACGAGAGTTAAGATTGTCAGGGGTTTGTGTTAACTTCACAATGAATAAGATCAATTCAAGTTTTACAGATGTGTTTGTCTAATTCCATAATTAAACAGTATTTGTATAAAATTATTTCATCAGGTGTTATCAAACTTAGTGTATAGAATACATACTGTCGGGGGAGGGCCTAGTTATTATAAGTTGTGAGAACTAATAACATATTTAGTTAACCTTTCGTATACGACAGTTATATCATATAAGACAATTTAAAACCAGAGGATTTAAAACGAAATATGAAACTTGAAAGTCCTCATCGATGAATACTTCAAAAGCACAAAATATTCTGTAAATGCATTTTCAAACATAAGAACCACTGCATGTGGACACGTGAAGAATTATTTTACATTATTGATTCGAGCCACAGGAACATCTGAATCAATTACGGTATGTATGTTTAGACTTAGCCTAAAACATTGGGTTTATATTTTACATCTGAATTCTCTATCGTTTTTTTAATTTTGTTTTTGCATTACAAGACGTTGTTTAATTCCAATTTAGAGAACTTTTTATGACACTGTTTTGATTTTTTGTGTTCTCTGATTGCCAACATATTTACCAACACTAGGCAGGTGTTGTTTTATAAAATAATGACACTCAATTATATACTGTTTCATATAAAGGCTGTATTTCAACCTAAATATTCACCTGTGACTTAACTGTGTTCATGCTACACACATTTTTGGATAATTTTTGCTTCAATTGTTTTGGTCAAATCATAAAATGTTACATTTTCAAAGCACTGAAAAGTGTCTCCATATATTTTGAAAAAATAAATAAAAATAAATAAGAATTAAGTTAACGTTTGAAATAACATTGAACTATTCCTTTATCTGTGATAAGTAAATAGTCCCTAACCATTCCTTTGTTATCCGATTTTGCTTTCAAAGTAAGGATTAAAAGTATTAAACTCTGAATATTCCTTTAAAAAAAATAAGAAACAATTATGTCATTTATTAGGGAACATACATGTATGAAGAAGGCTGAAATGTGTTAGCACTTCTAACGATTTTTTCGGAAAGTTAAAAGCTTGAAAATCAATTCATAGAATGCCGAAAATAAAAAAAAGGAAACTGAAAATGCAAGAAAATACCTGAAATTAAAGGAAACATCTCAAATGAAAGGAAACTATAATGAAACAAATTCAGGGAGGAGCGACATTTATAACTCCTTTTTATTTCAGTCCTTGTTGCGATGTCTGTATTACCGTGTGTAAATTTAATTTTAATAGTTTTTTATTTGATAAAATCTTCACTTTAAAGCCCCAAGTTCGTCACTAGTGTTCGAATTTGACTCGCTCGGATGATACATATTTACATGCTTTTTTTGCATAACGACTGGACTGCCAGATATATATACATACGTGTTTCACTATAATCTGCATACTGTGACGTTTATCCTTTTTTTATCTAGATCTGACGTGGTGTTATATTATCGATATATTGCAAAGGGTTGGGCAGATACAGCTCCCCTGTGGGAATCATTCTCATAGCCACAAGCTTTATAAACATTCATAAAGTAGGGAAAGTCTTTAAATTAAAATTATCTTAAATTTAGTAAAGTCTTACGACATTTAAGGAAAATTAGATTTCCCTTTAACTCCAATAATGCTTTCATATGAAAAGAAACATAAGGAACTTCCTTACAATAGGAAACATGTATGAAACTGATGCCTGAATACTTGTTGTGGGCATTGCCAATTCTCACCTGAAAAGCGTGCTTTTTATGATTATAATCCAATAAATCAATGCATACATATTCTCTTTAGTCCAAAAGTTTTCAAACTCCTAAAAATAGCTTTTCGTCATTTGAAAATTCCTTTTCGATTTCATTTTTTCTGTGTATTCAAATAAACAATAATACATTTTAAACGATATCAATTCTTAAAAAAGTAATTTTATCACTTATACACCTGATTTGGGTATTGTTAAATTTTAATTAATTGTGCTTTATAATTAAGTTATTTATCTGTTATTGAAAGATCATTCAAATGAATATGATATCAAATACTATATGGATCAGATTGTTTATATTATAAAATAAAAAAGTCAAAAAAATATATATGTATATTTATATTAACATATGTGCTTGAGTTCCGACAGGGTTAGGGTTAGGGTTAGGGTTAGGGTTGAATTCCGTTATTTTAGCTTCCGGAAGGTCAGGGAGTGTATTTACTCGGACCACTAATCCTCGCGACTCACGTGTCGATTACGTGTGTATTCTGGTATATTCTGGCTTATATAACAGTGTCAATCTAATTAGGCAATGGTTTCAGGTGGATATTCTCAACGTACAGTTGTCGAAGACTAATTAAGGTTTTTTTTATGTCTAGAACTAAGTCACCTTAAGACATTTGCTGTAAGAAAGATTATTGGGTAAAACAATATGTTACTATAAAACTAGAGCGATCAAATTGTGCAAACTCGGGGGGAAACGCCCAATAAAAACTATTTTCGTAGATTACTGAATTATACCGCTATGAGACTAGTCTATATTTGCATATGCATATTTGCCAATTTTTAAACAGTTTTCATGTATACAGCTTCAATTATAAATGTACTGCTCTGATAAAGTGAGCTCATGGAATCGGGTCCGTTTTTAATCTTCACTACAATAATACTCAGACATCACTACTGTAAGACTGTAACTAAGGACAAACATAGTGATT